GTTCTTACAATTAATTACACAAAAACTGGACAATGTCTCTAATACATTTTGTCTCACATGTCTGTTCCAGGCCAAATATTTAAGTTTAATATCTTGTCTCAAACACCTCAAGTTTAGTGTTTTGTCTCAAAAAGTGGGGGGGGGGGAGTTCATTCCTTCTTTTTTGTATCAGACTGGTATTAAATAAATGTTAGTCACCAGTCAGAGTATGTAGATCCTGATGGTTATTCGTCTGTTCCACACAGATTCGTCCAGATAGTCCCATTCTACAGAGGCCATCCACACATAACAGTATTGGCATAGAGATAAATGTGCATAGAAGGAGAGCCGCCACAAGCTTGCTGGCTGTGCCACCTGCCAGGACGTAACTGACAGCTTGTGAGCACCTAGCCTATGAAATGTATACAGATAGGTGCTGTCTCTGTGATTGGGAATGACAAAAAGCAGTGATCCTGATCACAAAATAGGAGCCTATGTGCCCACAGTTCCAGTTTGCATAGGCTCCATGCTCACAAATCGTGGATCATGTGCCAGCAGGGGGGTGGAGCCAGTGCATTTCTGCCTGCTTCCCTTCTCTGTGTGCTGATTTTGATGTACACATTGTAATGTGTAGAGGGCTTCAAGGCCTACAAAGACGGTAAGCTGTATAGTTACACTGTATAGAGCAATGTTTCCCAGCCTGTGGGTTGGGAACCCAAAAGTGGGTTGTGAAGCCTCTGAAAGTGGGTCACAGGTCAGCCATCCCTAATGGCAGCTCCTGCCCTTTGCATCTTTCTCTTTCTTTCTTCCTTGTCAGCTTCCCACATTCTCATCTCCGTCTCCCTCTTTGTGACCATAATGAAGGCAGGCCCGTAGCTACAGTGGGGCCTCCCGGGGCCCGGCCCCTCGACTTCCCACCCAGCCCAGGCTGCCTGACTTCCATTTAAAAAAAAAACTCTCTCTCACTGGTCACTTGTTGTTGCTGCTAGCAAGCCCCGCACTGCCTCTCTGGTTGGCAGCTTGTAGCTACTACTGCAAACTTCATACCTCCCTCTTTTACCGGCCACTCTCTCTCTGTGCCAGCAAGCTGGCAAGCTTTTTTTTTAATTATTGGATTTATACCCCACCCTTCACTTGGAGTCTCAGAGCAGCTTACAAACTCCTTTTCCTTCCCCTCCCCACAACAGACACCCTGTGAGGTGGGTGGGACTGAGAGAGCTCTTTCCAGAACTGTCCTTGGGAGAACAACTCTGACAGAACTATGATTTTCCCAAGGTCATCCAGCAGGTCCAAGTGGAGGAGTGGGGAATCAAACCTGGTTCTCCCAAATTAGAGTCCACACACTTAACCACTACACCAAACTGGTTTCCTGGAAGACCCCCCAAATGCCCTGCTTTGCAGCCCCTGACTCTCTTCACCCCCTGTGCAAAGTCTGATGGTGGCCAGAGGAGGCAGAGCTGAGGGGAGGAGATACCAAGGAAGCCCAGGCGAGAGAGGAGGAAGAGGCAGCAACATCTGCCATTTTCATCTATCTTCTCAACCTAGCACCTCCCAAGCACACTTTCTCAGACTCTGTCTATGGTCCAGGTGGCAGAGGAGATGAACTCCCACTTGCTTGGGGTTCACAGAGGGGGCAGCTGTACCATTTATGTGATGTTTGTTGGTTTCTCAAAAACATCTAGTTGGGCACTATAGGAAATGGAATGCTGGAGTAGATGGGTCTCCAAGGTCACAGTTTGCCCAGGACACTGAAACAAAACAAAACAAACAAACAAACAAAAAACCTTGGGCCAGCCCTGGATGAGTCACTGTAGAAAGTAAATTTGGACTTGTGGGTCACCATACCAAACAGGTTGGGAACCACTGGTATAGACAATATATATGCCAGTGATTCCTCATGTCAAAAATTTATCCCTTTTAATGTATCCCTTTTTAATATTTCACATTAGCTTATCTCCTCCACCTCTTTTCTTTTTCTACAGATTCTCTCCATGGGAATGATGACTGAATACTATCACTACTTTTTTACTACCCTGGTAAGTCATTCTGATAAATTTGTATCCATTAGAGTAGAAACTGCTGAAGACTTTCGTGTTCTGTGCACCCCCATTATCAATGAAAAGTGCTCCTTAACTGCTAAGTATTACTATTACTGCAGGAGCCATTGTCTTGTAATGGAATTGGCCTGGTATATCTGTCACAAGCACCAAGCCTTTTCCCATCTCACTCATCTTTGAATACTTTACCAAGCATAGAAAGTATATACCTGTGAAACCCATATTTCAAAACCATATCTAAGAAAATACTGGAAGAATGAAAACAAATCAAAAACCCCTATTTAAACCTATCCAAAGTTTTTAAGTGCTTGGTTGTAGTGTCTTAGTTAGGAACAGGAAAAATAATCTGTGAGCTTCTCAGTATGGGAATGATTCATGATATTACATGACACTCTAGTCTGTAAAAACTTGACTGTTTAGTACTGGTTTTAGCCCTATTGTGGAAAGTCTCCTAGAGTGTTTAAATTTCAGCATAACATTTTCATTGTCCCCAGGAGAATTATATTTTTAGTCATATTCTTATCTGAAGGTAGTGGTACTTCAAAATGAAAGTAAGGTCCAATTCTACAGAACAATCAGCCATGTATTAAGTTACATTTTATATGGCTGTTGAACACAAAAGTTTGATGAGCAAAGCTGTCAAAATTATATTTACTGCTCAATTCTCAAAGAACACTATTTGTGTAATATTATTTTAAATAAACTTATTTACAGAGGGGAAGGGCTTGAGAACTGTTTTATGGCTCGTGTGGCTTAAAACTGAAAGTATCTTTTCATCCCTCATAAGGATAATCACAGCGAAAGTTATGTATCTTTTAATATAAACTGGTTTGAAGCTGGTCAAAGCCAATACAAATGAATTAAACATGTTTTAACGGAGGTAACCTTTCTTTCTTGGTGAAAGATTAGCAAGGTTATCTTGACAATGTTTTATTTGGTATCTTGTATTTAAAACAAGCAACTGCAGAATTGTGAATGTTGTGGGTTGGGTTTTTTTAAAGTAACAGTGATACCCAGACATAATGGAGATGTTTCCTTCATTAAGTTATCAATATTAACAAGATTTTTTCCCTGAGACTAATCTTCCAAATCTTGACAACTGTCTCTCATATTCTCAGTTCATGACATGTGGTTTTGAAATGTGTCCCAAAAAGATAACACTTAAAGAAACCCTTATATTCTCCTTTGCAGACTTCATATATCTAATATGCAGTAAACTGGTTGTTCACCAGCTTGACTCATATATCAGAATAAGTGGCAGCAAGTTACCAAAGCTGGCAAGGCAAGAGAAATATGGAGCTCATAAGTAGTAAAACTGTATTGCTTATTACATTGCTGGAAATTTTGTTTCCCAGGGATGGAAAATATCTTAACATTGGCCAGCCAGTTTTTCATGCTGGGGGGGGGGGACTCATAACCATAACATTATTACCAGGTTGACATAAATCAGCACTAGAAACTGCAGTGAAACTTGCTTGTAAACTGATGTTGTGAGTATCTAATGATTTATGATCCAACAGATCAAATATGATATCTCTAATAAACCCTGCTCAGTGCACACATTCAGATTTTACAATTAATTGCAGTTTCTGGAGTCTAAAAGACTTCTGCAACTTTGAACTTTGACATCCATTAGCAATTAAGGCTATTACCAGAACTGACTCACTATAAGGTAGTTTTTAAAATCATTAATATAATTTCTCTCTTTCTTAAAAACAAAAACTTGGTGACACAGGATTTGTTTGCCCTTGACCTGGAACCCTACAGATATAGTGGAGTCAACATGACTGGGTTTCGCCTACTCAACATTGACAATCCCCAAGTGGCATCAGTTATTGAGAAGTGGTCCATGGAACGGCTGCAGGCACCACCCAAGCCAGAGACTGGTCTCCTAGATGGCATGATGACTGTAAGTAAAAATGTGCATTGCTGACTTAAACCAAAAAGGAGTTTATTCCTTTGTATCAGTTTCAGGAAAGGAAATTGTGGATTTTAATACTGAAAAGAAATGATAGATACGTTCGCTCCAGATCTATATTTGGCAAATATCCATAATTCACAGTCGGATGCTGCTTCAGGATATGATAAACCAAAAGCTTGCTGTACACAGCTCCTTGGGTTTCAGCAAGATATGCATTAAAAGAGAGTTGAAAGAGAGTGTGATGTGTGGAAAGCATTAACATTTTTGACCAGTCATTCTCTGAGTGCAGACCACATTTCGATATGAACAGGCCTACCCTAACATCTTGCTCGCAACACAAACAGTATGCATTCCACTAGTGGCCACTAGTAGAATTTGGGTAGGGTTGCCATTCCCCAGGTGGGGAAAATGAACTCACCAAAGAAAACCACTATTCTATAACTTTAACACACTTGGTTATAGTTATATAATGTTTATAATGCAAATGTCTTGTTCTAAAGAACATTCATCAGTACATTTCATAAATATAAGCAAAGGCAGTAGATAATAGTATGAGTACAATAAAAAATCTTGATGCAAATATTCTTGACACTGTTTTTACTATGTTCTTAGAATGTTTTCTCTTTAAAGAGTCTTAACAAAGCTGTGAAGTGGCAAAGCAGACTGCAAAGTCTTCACTTTTACAGACTCCTAAACGACGTTTATCACTCCTTCATTTGAAAATATGTAGATCCAAGGAATGCAAGAGATAAAAAGAACACACTTTCACAGTGTTAAAAAGCAGTTTTGGATGTCTTTTGCAACTCTATCTGTTGGGGTTCGTCACCAATCTCTTAACGGAGCACTGCAGGAATGACAATAATATAGATAATATGGATCAATGTAATCTCTCTGTAATGTCTTTACATTTCATTTTTCCCAAATGTATTCAAACCAAAACCTGTCTTGTTTTTGATATATTCCCCAGGTGGGGGCAATGGATTGCCTGGGTTTTTTTTTTTAAGTTTTATGGATTAATAAATCAGAAACAAATGAAGATGAACATATCGAAAAATATACATCCAAAGTGGATTGCCCGGTTTTATGGGTTGCTGCCTGCTGCTGGCCTGTGGGAGGAAACTCCTTCCCCCAACAGCAATGTCATGTGACGCGCCTACATCAGCCAGAAGTGACATGGGCACACTGGGGGTGAGGCTCTGGTTTTTGGGCAAAACTCTATGGTTTGAGGGTGATTTTACCATAGAGTTTTGCTTAAAAAGCAAAGCATCACCCCTGACATGCCTACATCACTTCTGGGTGATGTAGGCATATGAGGGGGGTGACTTTTCCAGCTCCCGGAATGTCTCCACCCACCCACCAGCGTCTCTAAGAGACCTAGCAACCGTAAATTTGGGTCTATAAGAATTTGTGATTCTGTGAAAATCGACTAGTGGTCTAAATTTACATTCAGATTTATTGAAATGTGAAATATTTTGTGAAATCTACTGATATGGTTACATAGGCCATTCTGATTGGAACAATGATCCTTCTACATTCCTTTGAACTGCATCTGCTCACTGTTATTGATGCCATATGAATGTTGCAAAAGAATAACAATTATCAGTGCATTAGGTATGGATAAGGCAAAGCCTTCAACAACACAGCTTTGGTCCAGCTTTAAAAAATGAATTGCCCTGTATCTATGGAACAAATGTATTAGAGTCTTTGAAAGTAGTTGCCTATTATTTATTTATTTATATTTTAAATTTATGAATTGCCCAATCCCTGTATGGACAGGGCTCTGGGTGATGTACAACAAAATTTAAAAACATTATTATTATTAGCGATTTACATCTTGCCCTGGATAAATTTCTTTCAAACGTATTGTCTAATACATGCCGGTCTGTTGGACCGTCCATTCGCAGTGTTCTTTGTTTAAGCTCAGCAATCCTTGTATAGCAGTTAGATCAAGCATCAGTGCTAGTTAAAAGATGGCATAAGGAAGACCATCAAGACAAGTAAATGTAAGACCAGCAATGGTGACCACTAGCTGCAGTAAGTACAGGAACAGCAAGGGGAAAACAGGATGAGATGGCTGTCAAACATTTCATTACGATGGCACAATATCTAAGGCGTTTTTAAACACAATGGTGGTACTACTGTTAAGGCACTGAACTTATTTTCAGGCTTAATAAACTGGTCTTCCACTAGAGCAACAGAGGGGTCCTGCACTACAGGAAGGTTCCACTGCTAGTGAAAAGGATTCATGGGATCCATTTCAACAGTCCTTGGGTTGATAACAGTTATTTGGAATGCTTCATATAAGATATGTAGATCAAAATAAAATGATTTTGTTGATCAATTAGACTCTCTGTAGAACACTCTGTAGCTGATCAATTTCGGTCACATAGGACCCTTCAATACATATAACACTGATGCTATATTACAGGGGTTACCTAAGTCTTGTCTGTGGGCTCTACCTCCTGCTGCAGCTGTTATGTAACAACAATTTTGTGGCTGTACCCACCATGCTATATTAGAATTCCAAAGGTGCCCACAGGCGCAAAGAAATTGGGGACCCCTGTCATAGTAATTTAGCTAGGTAAATGAAATAGAGAATTAATTCTCTAGCCTCCCAAAATATGTATAGTTTTTAAATCTAAAATGGGTTCTCATGGCAATTAACACAAGCAGTTTATGAAGTCAATGTTGTTTACCATATTTTATCACGGTATGCAATTTACTTCTGAATATTTGAGAAGTGCTATCATAAATAATACTGTGCTTCCGTGCAAAGAAGTTGTTGATTATATACAGTGTCATTTTAAATTGCACACAAATGCTCTGATCCCAAGTTTTGCTGCTTTAGAAAACAAATTGAACAGAGGTCCAAGTATTTTAAAGGGAGAAAATGAAAAACAAAGATGTAGGGACTTGAAGATGTCTGCTTAAAAAAACCTTATGTGTTTTTCCCACACACAGACAGAAGCAGCTCTGGTGTATGATGCTGTTTACATGGTAGCAGTGGCTTCTCAGCGTGCCTCCCAAATGACTGTTAGCTCCCTGCAGTGTCACAGACATAAGCCATGGCGTTTTGGACCCAGATTTATGAACCTGATAAAAGAGGTAAGTGTGGATCATTTGCTGACACCAAAAATGGTACATTCCTTACTATTTAATGCAGTTTGTCCTCTAACACACATTGCTCAGTGTCAGTTTTAATGTTCAGGTATTTGCTGTTGGAGTATTCAATTTTACTTACTAAAAGTTTCTGATACAGGTGTATCATCCAGTATTTCAGGGCAGAACTGAAATAAATTCAGAAAGGTCTACAAAAAAAGAAATAAATACTGACACCCTGTTTTAGTTTTAAGCTCTGAGAGAATTTTCTTTGGGGTGGGTGTAGGAGAACGGGTTTTACATTCTACAAGCCTATATTAATAACAGATATATAGACTCTGAGGAAACTAAAGTGGGAGAAGAAATAGTCATAATTCTAGATTAGAACCATTGGTGATTGGTAGGCTTGCCAAGTCCCCCCGGGGGGCGGGGAAACCCCCGCCCCAGAGGCCCATTCCCCACCGCTGGCGGATCGGGCCCCAGGGGGAACCCCACCCCCAAAGCACGGGACGTGCCCGACATCAGCACGTCACCCAGAAGTGACGCAGCCACGCCGGGCACGCCGGGGGTGGGGCCGCGGTCATCCGAGGGAAAATGCTATGTTTTCCCTTGGATGACTGCAGCCCCGCCCCCGGCGCGCCCAATGCGGCCGCGTCACTTCCGGGTGACATGCTCACGGCACACGCGTGCAAAGCATCAGGTAGGCATAAGGTAGGACTTGGCAACCCTAGTGATTGGACAACTATTCTGGCCAAAACACACATTCACAATTTTTGAAACATAAATCTAAAATATCTCAGTTTTTCAACATTGAAAAGTCCAGGAATTCAATTTGTGTAATAGTTTGAACCTATGTTCCTAATAAAGAAGCATTCAAATTTACAAATTCTGGAACTATAGCTTAACTGTATATATGTATGTGTATATGTATATGTATATATGTGTGTGATAGAAGGCTGTTCTGTGATCTATTCAAATACAAATACAAATACAAATACCTTTATTGGCATAAATTGTGATCTATTCATTTTTCTTACCTTACAATGTAAAGAATATCACAATACCTTAGGAAATTATGGATGCTTTAGGGCAAAGATGTATATATTATGGGGCCCATTATGAGGCTGGAATTCCAAATTGGTATTGTTGAAAAAGTTTACATCATTGTATTTCTGCTTCTAGAAATTTGTTCCACATTTTATATTGCTCCTTATACAAGGCATGCTTCTTGATTCCCGTTCAGCTCCCTTCCCTACTTAATTCCTTATCTTTCTTCCTCATGACAGCCCCAATAGTGTTTGGCAGTAGTAATAATAATGTGATAATGGAGAAATACTTTAAAACATGTCTGAACAGTTTCCATCCATATTGCATCATTGCCTTTCAGATTAAGTGGTTTTGATGGAATGTCTTAACATTATGTTCAAAAGCAACACAGCATTATCATTCGATCAGTTCTAATATGTGTGAAGCTGCTACACAATTCACGGTTGTCACATACCACTTGATTCTCTTCAATGGAGGGGGGGGGGAGAGAACTGATCCAATTACTGATAGTTTCACAGGTAATTTCTTTTACGGTCTATAAAAGACTGCTTTTAAAAACCTCAAGTTCTTTAGTGTCTTTCTAAGGGTCTTTTTTGTACTTAGCAAAAAAGAAATGGATAATTTCCTATAATGGACAGAAAACTCTGGCCTTTCTAACGTATGGGTTAAATAGATGTCTAGAAAACATGCATGCATGTTCCTGCTTTGATGCTGCATGAAGAACAGTATGATGCTGAGAAACCCCATGGTGGTACCTTCGAATAAGCAGAAACACAGCCTTGCTGTAGGTAAATATGGAAAATTTGTAGCTGGATTTCTTGGCTTTTGTACAGTCATTTCAAACTGAAATGCAGCTGTGGGGGGCAGTGCTGCCAGTTTATTCAGACAAGCAGATAGGATGTGGTGGAGGTGGTGACGGCGGCTACAAGCATGGACGGCTTCAAGAGGGAATTGGATAAACATATGGAACAGAGCCACAAGGTATAGATAGGAACTCTCAGCCTGGGGCAAGGAATGCTCTGTATTCTTGGTGCATGGGGGGGGGCAACAGTGAGAGGGCTTCTAGTGTCCTGGCCCCACTGGTGGACCTCCTGATGGCACCTGGTATTTTTGGTCAATGTGTGACAGAGTGTTGGACTGGATGGGCCATTGGTCTGATCCAACATTGGCTTATCTTATGTTCTTATGTTATTTAAATTTTCTTCCGTATGCCATTTTCCAAGTCAAAAGGCCCTTCCCCTGCTGCTGTGTGCCCCATGGTGTGGGGGGGAGACAGTTTCCCCTTAGGTCAAACGAGGCCCGTAACCAGGATTTTTTAATTTGGAGGGGCCTTTAAATAAGTCAGGGGGCACCTTACACACAACCCCAAGGGAGCGCCTGGGCTGGATGGGAAGTCAGGGGGCCTTGGTGGGAAGTCAGGGTGCCAGGCCCCAAGATGCCCCACTGTAGCTACGGGACTGGGTCAAACAGCAGCTAGGTCTGAAGGAGGGAGCACAACTCAAATATGCTTGCTTGACACTTCACTAAACCCCCTCCAAAAAGCAGGAAATCCAGTCATAATACTACTGGGTAACATATACTTTGGCTCTTAGTTACAGGGTTGGAATGCTGTCTAGCTTTTCCACTGCAGTATCAGGAGTGTACATGGCTCATACATAGGCTTGTCACCTTTTTCTTTTAGGACTTCTGTTTCTTTAAAAAGTTTCACAATAGACAGAAAATCAACAGATGGAACCTCCCCAGTGCCAAGAAGAACTTTGCCTGTTGAATTTTTGCATATTATGCAGCTGTTTAAAGGGAGTCCTCCTAGAAAGAAAAAGGAGTCAACCCAGGTCTTCCAAAGCAGTTACAAAGTCAATTTTCACCCTAGAAAACAAGGCTGTTTATGGAGATTTAAAATGGAAATGGTAGGAAATCGTTAACTCATTTTAATGAGAGGAAAGGAATTCATTTGGAGCTAGGGTTGCCATGTCTCTCAGCTTGCTGGCGGAAGGATTTGGGGAGTGTTCCAGGAATGGGTGGTGACATCACGTGACGTCCCTGACACGATGATGTCCCAACGTGATGATGTCACTTCCACATGATGTCATCACACCAGGGATGTCACTGCATGGCATCCCTGTTTGAGGGTGGGGCTTCCTCTGCCAAACAGCTGGCCAGCAGTGGACAGAAGCCCCAAAAATCGGGGGAACCCCCCACCATGACAAGGGGTCTGGCAATCCAATTTAGAACTACATGGAAAAGATAAAGATGTTCGTTCTTCAGATATGGATACAAAAATTTCTACTATCTCTCCTTATTAATAAAAGTGATTTGGGGTGGCAAAGTTCTATTCATGCCAAAATCAGTTGGCTGCCTGAACTGCCATTCCAAAGGCACTGTGTGCATTGGCTGGCTGCATTGCGGGGTCCCGCCCACACAAACCCCGGCCACCAGCTTGCCCTCAGTATGCACAGAGCCGCCGGATGGAATGTGCGGTCCGGCAGCTGGACACTTGGCCGAGCCCCTTCCTCCCACCCCCGTGCTGGTTGTCGTCACCCCCGGCCGACTCAGCGGCCAGCCTGTGAGTGGACAGGGACTGGCGCACCACTGGGATGAGGAGCCCTTGCTGTCAGGCAGAGAAAGCTGGAAGAAGTCAAAGAGTCACTGGGAACTTTGCTCAGCCTGTTATTCTGTCCTCCCATGTCTTCTCCTCCAGCCCCCTGAAAATCAGAAGATTTTCATATCATATGAAGAACATGCAGCCAATATGGAAGGAATTGAGAGCTGAAAAACTGAAGAGAGTAACTTCCACGAACGCCACAGGCATGAGTTTATAGTCCCCTTGGGCAGGACCTAGATAACTGCCGGGGTGGTTTTAGCCAATGGGCAACAAGGGCAGCTGCCCCAGACCCCGTGCTGGGGGGGGCTGACAACCCATGGCCCCAACCACCCCAAATGGAGGAGAGGAAAGAAAAAGAGAATGCTCCTGCTGCCACCACTTGCATCTGTCCAGTCTGGGGCTTGAGCTGACTACTTGCAGTAACAGCCATTCATCCCGCCCCATCCAGGGCTCAGGCAGCAGTTCATCAGCAACCTCTTGTGCCCACTCTGTCAGAGGCTAGGGCAGCCAGCTTCAGGTGATGGTTCCCATGTCTCAAATGGGGTGAGGCCTGCAAGAATAGTGGGGTGAGGCCTGCAAGAATAGTGAAGATTATTATGTCCCAATGAAAAAAAACCCCTCACTTCAGAAGATATCACACCAATTCTTTTTTAAGGAGATCATATTTAATATTGTAATCCACAGTGCCAAAAAGACAATCAAGGGTTGTATCCCAGGGGTCTTTTGGGGCCGGAGTACCACTCCGGCAGCCCAGGAGCCAGCGCAAATGGAGGCGGTGGCAAGCCCCGCCCCCAGCTTCCCGTGCCGAAGTGCTGCGGCCTGGGGGAGGCCCGAAGAGCCCCACATCTGGCTTCCCCAGGCCTGCGCCGAAGCGCTGGGGCTGGGGGGAGGCCCGGAGAGCCCTGCTGCTGGGTCCCCCAGGCACTCACGGAAGCGCTGCAGCGGGGGTAGGTCGGAGAGCCCCGCCGCCGAGTCCCCCAGGCCTGCGCAGAAGCACTGCGGCTGGGGGAAGGCTCGGAGAGCCCTGCCGCCAGCTTCCCCGGCCCGCGCTGAAGCGGTAAGTAAGGGATCCGTGGGGTGGCGGGGGCTTGATGGGTGTGGGAGAGCCTCCCTCCCTCCCTTTGCCA